TGATGCAGTGTAAAAATACAAATTTGAATGAAAGTATTTTAAATGCACATTTTTACCATTTTACGCTTTGCCTCGAAAATAACTCCCATGGTACATGTTAACATAAGGAGAAATTTTCAAAACTTGAAAATTAGAGCATGTTATTATGAAAATGAGAAAGCAACAATAATTATAAAGGATAAAAATAACAATAGCTTTAACTGTAGAGATATAACAAGTTGAATTTTGACTGCGTTCCTTTTTTAAGAATGAACTATTCTAAGGAAATGTTAATTAACCTAAATATATGTTTGACAAGGATGTTGAGTTAAAATATAACAGTTAAAATATTTATTATGTCTCGAGGCATAGTTTGAGTAGTACTGATGTTATATTTCACTTTAGTTTGCAGATATATAAATTTTTCTTTCCTTAGCAATTTTAATTTTTAAATTTAAAAACTTTTCTTGTACAAGCTAGTTACATTTTTATTTCTATTTATAAAGGAGATGAAAAAAGAAAATCAATTAACATTTAATTGAATGAGCTTTACTCTTATAACTTATTACAAATGTAAAAGTATATTTATGTAAATTTTTCTTTTAGAGCATTACATGAAATAATTCGTTGAACAGAGTTGAGGCATACAATCAATGGTGAATACTTAAGGGCGTATAAACGACATAAAGCTAACGTTAAAAGAAGAGATATAAAAAAAGAAATGTGTTTTTTCTTCTATCCCTCTCACTCACTACATCGTATATTGAGAAATATTTTTCAGCCATGGGGTCCATCCCCAACATCATCAACATAAACATGATGTTCTTATGTTAGCAAAAGCGAGAAAAAAGAAATTTAAATTTTGTTTTTCACTCCCTAAAAATATATAGTGCATTAATTTACTCTCTTTCAATTTTTCTTCTTCGTAAAATTAGACATTTAACAATACGATATTGAATTAATGTTTTAATACAATCAAGCTAGTAGTTACTTGATAAATCTATCAAGTTTTACGGTTATTTTTCAATGACAGAAGCTTATAAGCTCACAATACTGTTCTTTATATTTTTTGTGATTTACGGTTAATTAACGCATCTCAAAATAACTTTCCATTGAAAAATATCACATTCAATAGAGCAATACTGTACAATACACGGTTGGGTGTTTTATAATATATATTGAATTGATATCCGACTAAGGTAACAAAAGTAGTCAATTATATAATATTTTAATTCAACTTTTACCAACACTGAGTAGCAATGACCAGAAGCACAAAAATTAATTCAGTACCATTCAGTATAAAAAACGTGGCAAAAATGTTTTTGATTACTTTTATTAGCTCAGTTTCATTGAGTTATTCCAGTATCGATAAGTTAAAAAGCTTAAAACAATGGCTATTATAGTATATACCCTATTTTTATGTTACTAGCCATTGGCTTATGGGATGAAAAAAGTTTTCAAAATCCTGAAAAAAGGCTTAATAACGAGTAGTGGCTTGTTAAAAAAATGTCAACAAACAAGAAAGATTAATAATTTTTATTGAAATCCTAAAATTTTCAAGTCCAAACCACCTTTAAACTATTCTAGCTATTAATTGCAATCATTAAATCATTTTTAAATTATTTTAAATAGTTTAATTAATCGAAAATTGGTAGTGGCTTAATCAGAGATCGAAGCCGATTTTTTCGGCTTAACTCAATTTTTGATTTTTTTGATAGAAAAAAGCCATTTAACACCCATTTTAAGTATTTAAATTGAACTTTACATGCTTTACTATGATTCTGTGAAATATTTTTTCAGCATGTAGCTATAGTAAGCTCTGAATTTCAATTTAGCCGATTTTAAGCCGATCGGCTTAAATTTCGGCTTAACATTCTTTAACTTGAAATTCTGAGCTCACTATAACTACATGCTGAAAAAATATTACACAGAATCATAGTAAAGCATGTAAAGTTCAATTTAAATACTTGAAATGGATGTCAAATGGCTTTTTTCGATCAAAAAAATCAAAAATTGAGTTAAGCCGAAAAAATCGGCTTCGATCTCTGGGCTTAATAACGGAAAAGAAAAATTTTCAGATCCAATTTTCTTTACTAAGCTACTGGCTTAGTAACCATTACCAGAGGTCGAAGCGAACTTGGTTCGCCAAGTTCGCTTCGCTAAAAATTCAACTTGCCAAAGTCGAACTGTAGCGAGAAAAAAATTTTTCTATTCGCCTTAGCGAACCATAGCGAACTCAATTTTATTTTTTTCGCTATAGCGAACTATTAGCGAACTTAATTTTTCAAAGTTCGCTATAGCGAACTATTGGCGAACTATAATTTTTTGCAATTTTGTATGAAATTACATACTTCACAAACGCAATCAGACATCTCTTTACATGAAGCCAAAAAATTTTTTCTAGTTCGCCAATAGTTCGCTATAGCGAACTTTGAAAAATTAAGTTCGCTAATAGTTCGCTAAAGCGAAAAAAATAAAATTGAGTTCGCTATAGGTCGCTAAGGCGAAAAGAAAAAAAAATTTCTCGCTACAGGTCGACTTTAGCAAGTTGAATTTTTAGCGAAGCGAACTCGCTAAAAACTCGCTTCGCTATGCTCGCTTCGACCTCTGACCATTACTCGTTCTTCTAACGTAAAAATAGGGTAGCTGATGTTTTTCATTTCATTTGAGAAACACGCGTTCAGAAATTTGAATTTTTTCTACCATCATAAAAGTTGTTTAAGGTGCGTTTAAAAATTCAAATTTATTTCGACCGTTAAAAAATTTGAATTTAAAAAAACATGCGAAAAATATACGATCACCCAAAATCAAAGTGTAACATATATGCATATGAATACTTTACTATTAATTTTATCTGTTCGACATTTTAGTAAATATGATTTAAATTAATTAAGAAATAATTACAACTGTAAAAAAGGCAATAAAAGTTGTAATATTTTTATTACATTGAGACACCGCGTTAATGTATAATGAATGATGCATTCGTATTATGCATACCAAAAAAGGATGTTAAACTTATTTTTTTTTAAATTGAATTGATCATTTTAAAATTTTATTTGTTGCCAACTTCAGAATAAAATTGAATGAGTTGCGAAAATTGAAAAAAAAAATTATTATTCTTCACGGCATTTCTCGCATTTGTGATAAAAGTTCCGTTGAAGGTGTTGTGTAAAAAATGAAAATTCTTCACGTGCGGTTTTAACGAATTTATGTCTTATTTCCAGGAAGAGTTGTCAGAAAGATACGTTTCGAAATGTGCCTCATGAGAGCTTGGTTTTTGTCTTGTCTAGGTTTTATCTAGGTATAGGCATGTCTGGCCAAAGGCAAAAAGTGTACCTGGTGAAAGTTAATATCTAGCCAAAGGCAAAAAACAGATCTAAAAATAGACAAAAAAAAAAAATGCATTTGACTAGGCACTACCTATCGTTGGCATGCTTTTGAGTAGATTTTAGGCTAACCTTTGACTAGGCAAACCTTTTCAAAGATAAATTTTGATGTCTTTTTAAAGGCAATGCCTGGAAAAGATTTTTAATTTTGGTAGGACAACTCTGTTGCCAGTCATTCCTAAAAACTGTTTAACATTTCTTTTTGCATTCATATTGATTAGCAATGACAAGATAAAAAAGAGAAAAAACAAAGATATTTGTATAGTCAAAATTGAGATGTGTTGAAGTGAAAGCAAAAAGTGTAAATTTTTTTCGTACGAATCATTGAGACGTAAACATTGAAAGATCAATGATATTGAAACTGCGTTAAAGGATGTTATTTACTAAGACTTTACCATTAAAAAATACCAAGATATGTTAATATTTGATGCCATCGAGCTGGGAAATTTGATGACGAATTGCAACTTACTATATTTGTCACTCTTGTTTCATTGACATGTAAGTTCATTTAAATTTTTTTTAGAGGTAGTCTTAAGATAAGGTGGATTTTGACAGTTACTTGCAGAGGTAATACAAAATAATCAACCATACTTAAACTTTAAACAATGAACTATTAATTTTTTGTTTTCATTTCTTCTTAAAATTTATAACGTAGGTGGAAAGGTTTTTTAAAAAATGAGTGTTAGAAATTTTAAGATGTTTTTTTTCCAAGGTCTTCAAAATCAGCAAGTATTGAAATGGTTTTCGTAATTACGATATTAAACTTAATTATTAAAAAAAATATTTTAGTTAAATTAGTTGAATGTTACAATAAAAAAAAATCATGCATGCATGATACACATAATCATTTCGTCAATAAATCTTTTTAAGTAATTTCTTTTGTTTGTAAAAATTTCCTCTGAATCATCAAAATGTGATCATTTCATTTATATAAAAAGTTTTTTGAAAAAGTCCGAAACCCGTAACTTTCTTGAAACTCATCGAAATGAGAAATTTTTTTCATCATCAATTTTTTCTCAATATTTGAGTTTGGTTTTCTTGTTATTGCTACTCGTCTCCAATTGCATCATTTAAAACGAGATGAATAAGTGTAGAGATTGATGAGAAAAGAAAATAGATTTATTTACTTAATATATAAAGAATCTGTGAACTGAATCAATTTGAACTTTTCGATAAAACGCAAAAACAAATTTTTAAAAACATATACAATATAGTTCTGTGCAAAAAGGTAAACGAACTCTCAAAAAATAAAAAGAAAATTCAATTTCATTTACGTCTTGATATTTTCGATATAAAATTAAGTAACAATATTGATGAATACGAAGAAATGAATAAGCAAGAGTAGCTTTAGTAGCTAATTTTCAACCAATTTAAAGATTTTTTTCATATTTTAAAATTGTTTTATAACTAATAAAACCTTCCGAAATTTCCGATTTTAAAACCATTCAAAACTTATTTATTAAATTGTGTTAACAACAAATCTTTGATTTTATTTCCAATATTTTTTTATTTTTAAATCATCATTCAAACTTAAATAAGTCTGCAGCAGAAGAATATCAAATACATAATCAACCAAGATTAAAATGATTGATTTTGTTAATGTTAGTAAAAATATTCTTTAAATTCAAAACTCACCTTATAAAAAGTTCCATTATACGAACATTCGATTTTCTTATCAACATCGATTTTATCTTTAGATACAACTTGTTTTTTGTCCTTTTTCAAATTTAAATATTCACTTTTCTTTTTTTCAGAATTTTCATCATCATAATCATCGTCATGATCCATGCTTACATCACTCAAATCAAAGAATGAAATTATAGGCGATTTATCAGTACTGGTTGTTACAAAATTGATCTGCATGTGACTGGACTCCGTGCTGTTTTGATTATTACCCAAGATTTCGAGTGGAAAATTAATGGAACGACCTTCTTTTTCCATAACAACATCAGATGAATGATTTTTCTTATCATCCGTTTCATCATTGATTACTGGTATCATTTGAGGTTGATTTGCCTGATTATCACTATCATTATTGACAAATTGTACCATCATCGTATGCTCATTATTACTTCTATCACTACTGTTTTCAATAAATTCTGGTTTTTCAACTGTTTTCTTCATATCGTCATATAAATTTACGGTCATTGATAATTGGGTTGATGAGGTCACGGTCGAATCATCTTCATCATGCGATAAATTTGTTTTATTCTTTATCATCACATCTAAAGGTAAAACTTTTAATGAATCATCATGCTGATGTTGCTTCTCCTGATGTTCATTTGGTATATTTGTAGTCACATCACTTTCTGTAGATAATGATAACGATGTTGAGGTGGGATGAGAAATGTTTGGAGGCACATTTGTATTTGATTGTAATGATAATGTTGTAATCTCGGAAGCAGGTGTTGGAACTGTCGTTACTATAAGATTCAATCAAAGGGAGAAAAAGGGACAAGAATGAGTAAAGATATGAAAACGTAAACTTTGTATATTTATAGAAGTTATATTTTAAGTAGATACAGATGGATTTAATGGTTCATCGGATATGGATATAATAAGTGTAAAGATGTTCAAAGATTTTTGGAATAAAAAAAAAAATCAAATCAGTTGAATAAATGAGAGTGAAATAGGCTTGAATAAACGATGTCATACATCAATCATAAATAACAGCATCATCATTATCGTTATACATGTAAAAGCTCTTTTTTTGCCCATCATACAGACAAGAATGTTATTTACATAATATAGCATAAAAATATACAAGGAGAAAAATAAGGAATCATAATCATAAAGAAAATAAACATGTCTTCATGAAAAAGTGTTCATTTATTATTTAAATGTAATTTGAAGGAAGCTACAGTAGAGGATGAGAATTATTTTTAAAGCAGTATTATTATTTAAAAACAAAAATATGATGCCATTTTGTTTGAAGATAACTTATTGAAACAACTAGTAAACATGACAATGTTCTCGAAAAGGTATCCATGCACTGGCGATATTAAAATTAATCGAGAATCCATTCATATGCTTATTTTACTTTTATATGAGCCCCCTAAAATTTTCCGACAGGGAAAAAGGCTTTTTTTCAATAAATCACATTGTGAAAATGCAATAAAGTTTACGTTCTGTGTATGTTTTTCTGCTCTCGTCGTCATTGTTATTATTATTGTATATACATGCTATTCAAGAGTAATAAATGTATGGAAAATGCTAATATGTGCGCTTTGGGAGACGCTCAACTCAACTCAACTCACACAAAAAATTCGACAGCAAAAGCAATATGGTGTGCGTAGATAATAAAACAAAGTTGTGGCCTGTAGAGTTTTTTTTTCAATCCCAAGCACGATACAGGGAAAAAGGCTTTTGACAGCTTTCCAATTTTGTGTAAAATGATTTGTGATATCAATGGAAGTGAGGATTAAAAAAAGAGTTTGTCATTTTGCTTTGATAGAAAATTCATACTCTGTGAGAGAGTAAAGGAGCCTTTTCACAAACTGCGCGTGATTTACATATGAAATTGTGGATTTCTGCTCTATTCTTTTGTGTTTTTGCCTTTGTGATCATTTATGTGCAATGCACCCTTCAAGCATTTTTTATTTTTTTTCTCATGATATAAATTGGACGATAAAATATTGTATGACACACAACAATATTACGCGACAAAGCAATATACATATTCGTATATTTCTTTGCTTTTTTCTCTTTCCATTTTTCTGTCGATTAATAATTGAACGACATCATAAAAATTCTCCTGACAAATTTTTAACCCTACATGTGCTTTATGTTAGATGGTGTTTTTCTCTCTTTTGTCTAAAATTGTTGGAATTGTGCAATGATGTTTAAAATTGTTTAATCTTGTTACTAGGTTCGTTAATACTGAGAAGTTTTTTTTTGTGTAATTTCTGGTAATATCTTGATGATTTCTCTGTCTCTGACAGAGGTAAAAAAAGGGTGACTTTTTGTATTTTATCAGCTAATAACTAAAATAAAGCTTAATCCACCGTGTAACGACTGTATAAAATGAGTGAATGAAAATGAGTCAAGTCAATTTTTCAAAACCGCAAAATGAGCGCTACGTGCTATGTATACTGACTACTCCAGCTGCTGTACTTTGTGATAAGCTGTAAGATAATCATTTCGAGAATGCTTGAATGCTTTTTAATCATTTCATGCATTCCTTAGTAATTATTATTTTTTCTCATTTCTTCATTTATCATTTACAATAAATGAATTTAAAGATGATATTTCAGACTTTTAGCTTGTATTGAAAGCTTTTTAAAAGCAACGTTCTAAATTGGCATAGTAAAACTAGGGTAGTAGTGAAATAAGCGTGAATTGTATATATAGAAGCAGTTACAGTATCTTTTACATAGACCTACATATGCATTGAGTAAGAGAAACAGGGGCACATCTTCACTTTTTCTTTAGCTGGTTACTGATGCAAAATAACTTGTTGAAGAAGTGAAGAAATATCTATTGATGCACACTATATATAGTTTCTATTGTTTAATTTTCTTGCATAACTTACGAAGGTATAGATATTTTTGGATTTAAAGTGATTTTAAGGCCTATTATAAACGGATTTTGTGAATTTTAAAGGTAAAATTAGATATAAGTAAACAATTATTGCTTTCATTAGCGAGGAAGATAGTAGGTGTTAAAAGAATTATATTGTCCGTTTTTTAGAAAAAAAAAGTTCACCGTTTAGAACACTAAAGGGTAATTCCATGAGTGAAAAAAATTTTGGTGCTCCAATTTTTCAAAAATATTTCCTTAACTAAGAACTTTGTACTCCAAATTGTAACTTTATTATGTTTATTAACACAATATTTATCTCCATATGTGAGAATTTCAAATCAGAAATATGTCTAATTCTTGTTTTTTTAATAAAAGTAAAATTAATCGGTCAAGTTTTCGAAAAATCGTTTTCTAAACATTTCCTAATATTTACTTAAATACACACTTCTATGTTCCAAAGTTACTTTTAACATATTAGATATTAGCCAGGCTTTTGTTTTATGTATAATTTGCATTCCTTAATGCTTTAATTAAGAAGAAAAACCAAAAAAATTAGCATTAATCGGTCAATTTTTGACCGATTATTGCAAAACAGAACACTGAAAAAATTTCAAATTCACAAAAACCATTAGATTTTCTTGATTTTACTTGTAAGTTTATTACATTTATTTGATTTAATTGAGCAAGTAACTAAAGTTTCAAAACATTAAAGATCATGTATATTTGAACCATCTCTCTTTGATGGAATTGCGGCTAATTCACTCGAATAAACAACAAAACGTTTAGAAATTATAACGGTTTTGGGAAATTTGAATTTTTACAAGTAGAGAAATATTGCATAGTGCTTTTTCACAGTTCCCATTACTCATGGAATTACCCTAAAGTGATATTTTACTTACTAGTTATTTTGACTTCTTTTGAAAAATAAAAGTTACGGTACATTAAACTTGATGTATTTTAATTTTTGGTAAACTAAATTGTATTACATATTTTGTTGTAAATGAGTTCGCAATTTTTCGTAAAAATTAAAAAATTAAAATTGTAAAGAGTTTAAAATAAATAAAAGACTTAAATAAAAAATAATAATAAATTATTCAAGGTTCATCTTCTTTTCTGTCTCATAAAAATTAAATTACTACAAAAGTTAATGTTGTGAACTTTTATAAGATTAATTTTAAAATTGTAGTATTTTCTCACATTTCAACATCAACACAAATTAGTTTAGAAACATTAATGACTGAATGAATGAATGCATTTAAACTTTTTAAAACTTCAATAATTGTCTGTTGATCATCAACTTCTCATTTGAAAAACCTATGCAGAGTAAACTGTCACAGCATTTTTTAATTTTTTTATTTTGTAATCTATTCAGAAAAACTATAAAGCAGAATCCTAATCCATTAAGCTCCAAAATTGATTCAATCATCACGATGAAAGATTCTCAACGACTTGTTGTGGGATTAACATCGAAAATGAGAGAGACACTGTTAGAAACTGAAAAGAGCACTCTTTATATTTTCATGGAAATGTCAAGCATTAAGGATCAAGACTCATGTAAAAATCATTTTCACAAGCAATTTATATAGAAATAGATTGCGTTGTATTTAATTTAATGAAAGAATGAATGAATTTAGGAGATCATTTATTTAAATGGCTTGTAAGTAAGAGAAATGTTGTAAGGATTTGCTACCATGTTGTGGTTAAGAATAAAATTTCAATTTCATTCAAAATATATTTTAGTTTTATAAAGAAAACATTTCCGTGATTCTTTTTAATAAATACCTCACAACATTTTAATTAGTTTTATTAAAGAACTTTTAAAAATCGAAAGTAATAAGTGTTCTCCTCGATAAAATTTTTAATTTGTAAAATAATTCTTCCAGGATTTAAATTAATTGAAATAAATATAATATTTTTCAACATAAACTTAATTTCGTTTAGTATTATGCAATTTATTTTGATAAGCTTCTTAGCAACATAACGAGCAGCAAGGTTAACATCAACAAAGAGCTTAATATGGAACGAGAATTCAGATTAAATCTTTAATGTTGAGTTTATTTAACATTCAAGTTAATTACATCAAGCCAAAATCAATAAACCCACTTCTCAGTGGGTTTGCTTTGTGTGAATAAATAAAAGGATGAGAGTAGAAGGATACAAAAGGATAAATTTTAATAGATAGAAGATTAAGTTGGTCGGTTTACTTTTGCTGTGGTAAAATCTGTTATTATTTCATTGAATTCATTTATTACTCACCCTCATTGGCATGGACAAAATCATTCCATGAGATCGTTTGGAATCCAACAATTAGTAGAAAAATATTAAAAAACTTGATATTGACTTTATACAACATTTTTGGTAGGAATGATGAGAATGGTGACTCTTGAGACACAAGTGATTATTCTTTTTTGAAATCTAAATTTTTGCTAATTGTCTCAACACACATAGATAATTTTATTTGTTTTTCTTCAAGTTCTTAGAATTTTTACTAATTATTTGAATTGAAAAGACAATTTAGTTTATTCATCAGTTGGCACATTTTCTCACTATTTTCTTGAGCACATAAAAAAACTCCACCATTCAAAATTAGTGACAATCACACCTTTGCACAGTACACGTTTTTGCAAAAAAAAAGCATAGCTAAACTTTGCAATTTTATTTCACAATTAAGTATAAATAGGGAGCATAAATTTTTTAATGCAAGACACGTGAGTTATACACAACGATGAACTTTATCGTTCTCTTGTAGCTCATAAACTGAACCAGAAAAAAATGAGACATAAATATTCAGATGATTATGATGTTGAAATGGAAATTGTCATTAAACTGCAACAGACCTGAAAGAAAAAAAAAGAGAGATATAAATTAATATAGTGAAATTGAGAAGAAACGAAGAGTCGACAAAATGAAGAAAGAACAAAAGATAAAATTATTTTGATATTAAATAATTATTTAATCATTGAATCAATGTCAAGACAATAAATAAATGAGGATGATAAGGAAAAAAAGTAGAAAAAAGCATAAAAGCAGATTATACAATTATATTTCAAATAAAAATTAAATTTTAATTTCTTCGCTTCTGCTTTCATTCAACTTTGAAATTGAATTATGTGGAAAAAACAGAACAGAATCAGACTGACGATCAGTGAAATTAAATGAATGGTACATAACGTTAAAATTATGATGAGTGGCAGAATAAAATGAAGTAGAAAGATTAGGGATTTTAAAATTTCGTAACAATTCTAACCAGAAAATTGGAATAATTAGTTTGCAATATTATTATTTTATTATTATTATTAAATTTATATAAGTAAATACAAACGCGTACATCAAAATCATAATTATAATAAACATTTCAATTCTTCATTGGAATCACCAAAATCCATAGAGCAATAATGACAGTAGAGAGGGAGAATGAAGATAGTAGACATACTAATAAATCTGTGCGACATTTTGAGCTGTTTCGACAACATAATTGAATATCTTTTTCTCTAGTGCTTCTTGAACTTTTTATTTCATAATGAAAATTGAGGTAATTGTCATAATTTTTGACAACGTCTACGACAATGTTTGACGACATCAACGATGATGAGCATTTGAGGTTTCTAATTGAAACAATGAAATATTCTTCTATTTTTTTATATAGTAGCACGCAAAAATGATTTATTTTAAAATGTTAATTCTAAACACGGTTGTGCACCTCTTTTTGTAACTTAAAATTTAACTCTTACTATTAAACTTGTTTTTAAAATCAGTATCTGCTCCAGAGCATATGCAATATGCATGAGAACTTTACAATAAAATTGTGAGAAAACATGTTTGTATAGAAGAACGAGACAATTTAATAATCAAATCACGTGGGTTCTCACACACTAAAAAGTTATTTATTAAATCTACACATGTTTTCTACACTCGATTTTAACAATTTAATGAAAATGGGAACGTTCTCTTCCTTATTAATAACGAAAAAAACGTCTTTTTAAAAACCTCTTCCCTTTCTTGTCAAATTATCTCAGACCCCCTCGCTAATTCTCTTAGAAGAGTTACGTAATGAGGGAACAGGCCCTTAAAAAAGAAGAAGTAAAAGAAAATTTTTGTTATTAAGTACGAAGTCATACCATTCAAACGTGTCTCATGGCATATCATGGATAATGGTGTTGTGTAGATGTTTTTGTAATAGTAACAGTATTAAATTCAAGCTGTCGAGCTTTTAAAATTTGAAAGAAATAGGCTTAATGAACTTCTCTTTTGGTTAATCAATAATAAAGGATATTCAGAAACAGTTTAATGCAAATATTGTGCAAGTACACATGAATTATATAGTGGCATGCTGTGTTGAAAACTAAACAGAATTAGGAGATGGTTTCGAGTTTAGAAAGAAGGAAGATTATGGAAAAGCATGAATAATCATTATTATTATATTTGTACTTAAATTGGATACATGCAATTTGTAGACTAAATATTTTACAGTGCATTGTACGAATTTTACGAAGCTTTTCTGTTGAGAACGAATAAGTGTATAAACATTGAAATATTTTAAAAGTATTAACACTAAAATGTTATGCCTAAAATGCAATGAAAAGTGCTCTCTTGCTTTGTGCAACATAAAATATTATTCTCTTATGTGTACAAGGTCTTTGTATTTATAACAATTTTATACAATATTTATAGGAGAAATGAAAAATAGCAGGCAGCAGCAATAACAACATCCTAACAATTGGTTAATAAATTTTCTTTATTTTTCCATATTTACGAAAAAATTTCCATAATACTCGGTAACAACAACAATAACAACAGCAACTGCCTCAGAGAATTAAAAGTCTCTCAGTATACACAAAATTAATTTTAATATGCTACACATCATTATATTACATTATGTTGCCATATGCCTTTAATAATGTTTGCATACGTAAATTGCATTATTTAAAATATTACTGGACATCATTCATTATCATACTCCCAAAATGTTCGTGTTGATTTTTTTTTTGAAGGAGGCACATCGAATCTTCTACATCATTCATTCATTATCATCTAATATTATTATTGCAGTATAGTACATTTATTATAATGCACAACAGACATGTACCAAAATATAAATGTACTGGTGAAAAAAGCTTGTTTAAAATGACATGATTTGATGTTAAGTTTACTCATTAAAATTTAATTTTCAAACTATTGCTCCGACTGCTGCTGCAGTTGCAAGTTTATACCTTTCATGAAAGTGTATATCATTTCACCATATATTAGTGAAGTATGGTGGTAGGCTGTGAATAACGATTCATAATAATACTTCAACTACGTACTACTAAGGATGATGATGATGATGTGGGGAATTTTAGAGGATATACATCACGGTTGAAAGTTGATTCAACATTTATTGCTTTTCACACTCTTTCTCTGTCTCTCTGTTTCAGTCTCATATTTGATTTCAAAGCATGTATGCAAATATTGCGGTCCCATATCCCCCACAAAAATTGCTCATACCTTGAAATCATATAAAATATAGATTAAAAAAGCTCTTTAAAGGAATATGAGCATATAGTGAGATGGTCATTATATTATATTATAAATTATTTTTGAAAAACGTTTTTCTTTTTAAAATTGTTAATCATTTGTGTACAGATACTCTAATGTAGAGGAAAAAAACATTTGGAATCATATTCACACAAAATTTTCAATTTTTGTGAATATATTTTCAAATTTTTTTTGGTTACGCGACTGTCTGAAATTATTAAGTCCTTATGATAATTATATTTATTTTCAACTAGAATAAATTTAGAACTTCCTGAATGTATCGAATAGATTTTTAAAGTATTAAACCCACAATACTTCTTAAGCAACGTCGTTTTAATCTAATCATGATAAAAATGTGTTAACACGTGTTATTTAAAATTTTCATTATTTAAATAATTGAATATTTTTGTTCACACAAGTAGTGCTAGTTTTAATCAATTATCTCCATTATTAACAAGAACTCTGAATATTTGACAAGCATCGATATTAAATGAAAAAAGTGTTTCGATTTTATTGCCAATAAATTTATAAATTAATTCTGCAAATTATTTAAAGTAAAGCAAATTTTGGAAACAATATTCTTATTAGGGGGAGGATGATGAATCCTTTATTACATAATAATTCATTTTCAACAACAATACAATAAGTTATATGCATTATTCGACAATGAGATGCCTGTACAATCATAATGTTTGTAGATTTGTAATAAATGATAATTACATTTGCATTTAAATGCGATTTTATTGTGCATAAAGCTTTAATAAGTATATGTGTACAGGAGAGAAGAGCAAGTATAGTAAGGGTTCCCGCTGGAGAATTTACACATGAATACAGTACTGAATTCGTATAATAAGAGGAAAGGCTACAACCCACAATGCAACACACACTCACACACATTTTTTTAAATTTATGCTGAGTACATTTTCGATAATTTATGTTCAGATATCCATATAAGCATACTTGCTGCCCGCAGAAAAAGCTCTAGAGAACGAATTTTTTTATACATTTCATTCCGACTCTATGAAAAGCACTTGTGGCAATAATATAGCACAACAAACTCATCCCTGTCTTTTAATGCTTTTTCTGCTCTCATCCTCTCAGCAATATCTATACAATTACTGTCGAGATGAGCCTTTTTAATTGTACCTAGATGTGTAATTACTGCAACATTAATTCAATAATAAAGTATCTCCTGATAATTTTAAATAGCACTAAAATTAACAAATTTCATCTTTTTTGTTTCTCTCCATCTCGATTATGAAATAAAATGGGGACATAATAAGAGATGAACAGAAATAATGGTAATGTTTTTTTGTTATTCCATTTCCAACCCTCAAAAATTTATTAATGATACTACTTTGTGGTTCAAAAATAATATATAAATTATAATTTCATTCGTATGTGCATTAATTGATAGTAAAGGAGACTCATTCAATTTAGTTTCGAAAGTTGGGATGAGAGAGTAGGTGATTCAGTTCAATAATTTTTTGCTTAATAGTATGGTAATAAAAAATTATATTGTTGAATTAAAGTATCCTTTTATATGTGGTTTATATATTAATAGAAATAAAAATGGTTTAAAAATATAATGAAGTAACTCATTAGCACAAAGTTTTCATACTTCAGTTATAAAATAAAGCAAAATTTAGCATTTAAAATATTAATGGAATGTGTTTCTTGCTTTAAAATGTATTTTTGCAAATTAAATATTTGTATCTACATGCATGTGACATACATTTTTTTTCATGTGAAAATCAATTTCCAATTACAAAAATTCACCTTTCTCATCCTCTCAATTTTTGGTCCCTGATTGTTATAGCATTTTAATTTTTATTGTTTTTGTGTTTTCACATATATGTATTGCTTTTCAATAAAATTGGATCAGAATGGGAAAAATTAAAAGCAAATTTCGCTACTGCGAAAAATTTAAATTAAAATTAAACAAATCAGAGAAACAAATAAATGAGTGTCATGAAGAGAAAATTAAAAAAATACTCGTTCACTGATAATGAAATAAAAATAAAAAGTTATGATGAGAAAAAAGTTATTGATAAATATTTATGATTTTAATCGAAAAATTATTATTTGAAGTGATAATGTGTGTGATGATCATGATAATCCAGTTCATTTATGTTTGTGTGTGTTTTCCATAAATTTGCAAATTATTATGATAATGTTAATAAAAGAATAATAAAAGTCCAAATAAACACATTATTTTAATAATATTTCCAGATATTTCTGTGTTCTGATATATGATATTATAATATGTATATATCTAATTAAAATAAAATAATTACAACAGTTTCTAGACAATTGATTAGCGAACATTTTTTTATCAATTTTTTTAATAATTCACAGTTAATTTAGATATTGTTTTAAAGCAGAAAAAAGGGGAAAAACTTTAAAGTTATTTTAAATCAAACAAATATCAAAAAATGAAAAATAATAAATTAAGTGTTAAAAATAAATGAAAAACTGTGACAAACTCACAACATTTTTGCAATTGTTCATAATTAGATGGCTTTTATAGTCTGTTGACCGGAAACATTATAAACATATCACAGCTACATGCCACGTTATTTTTCGCACATAAATAAATGTATTTTATGCTAACGAGCATTGGACGAACAGGTAAATGTTGGTATGAATAAAGAGCGTACATAAAAATATTGTTGATACGAAATGAATGTTAAGCACATTTTAACAATCATCATTCAAAAAGTTTTTTTTTTTGTTGTTTACGCAAAAGTAGAGTGGGAAACCACTGAAAATATCATCATTACCTCATCATAATAAAATAACCATTTGATAAATTTCATCGTATATAAGAAGAAGAAAAAAAATGAAGCACGTTACAATTAAGGAAGGAGAAATGACAAACGGAAATTTAAATGCGAACCGTAAATTCTAATGCAAAAAGTACTTTTCCCCAAATTAAGTTCATTCATTTTTTTATTCCTTTTCATAGTAGGAGATGGAATGAGAAAATCCTAAAACGAGACAAAATTTCTTTTTTCCAAATAGAAAAAAAATGAATGACCACTCCGTTGTCGACGGTAGCACTTTTGTGCCATTAAATAATTCTTCTCTTTTCTATTTTGCTGTGTGAAAAATTGCTCATTTCATTATTTGTACGTGTGACATTGAATATTATAGCCAACACATAAAAAGTTAGCTCTAAGTCAAGTCTCACTCAATTAAATTTATGCTCTTTATGCAACATTAGACTGTATGAATCATACCATTTGTCATTTTCTTTTCTTTTTTGCTATGTGTCTACTTTTATTGGTGCGGTATATCCGCAATATTTTATTTTCTTATTCGTGTCATTGCCAGTGAAATTATTTAAATTAAATTCAAATATAAATTTTCTCATGAAAATGCCCTCTGTCTGATGGAATGTTTCTTCCATATTGATATTAGATTTTACCGAATTCACACGAATAGTTTTAAAGATCCACGCTTTAATAAACGAGTAATTTGGGTCGTAAAAGAAAATTAAAATTGGATTTATTATTATTATTTGCTTAATAAACTGCGGGAAAATGCCGTTGACCACAAGTATTGTAATCGTCAGAAAAATACCATACTGGTTGCTAGTGAATTTACATATTTTTTATCGTTTTTGCTAGTTGATGATGTTTTATTCCCCATGCAATGAGTCAAAAGTTGAGTCATGCATGGAGCTTAACTCCGTCTCTCTTTTTCTCCATAGATTGCAGTATATTGAAAACTAAGCTTCCTTTAAATCCAATATTTCTCTTTCCACATGCTCACTTTTTTGCTTCGCTCTCTTTTACTGTCTACCTTTTAACCACACTATGGGATTTCATTTATTGAATTTATATTCAATTTTGTCTGAAAATGAACACTATTCATAGTAAGGCATTCATCTATCTCTTTTTTATTTCTTCTATACATATTCATAAAACAGATACATAAAGTAAATGTGTACATACAGATATTCACATGGGGAAGGTTGATTGTTATTGCTTTTGATATTTTCCTCTATTCACAAGTGAAAAAAAAACTTTTTAAGCTTTTAGTGAAAAAAGTATCAAGTTGTCACATGATTTACTAGTATGAAGCAACATAAACTTATATATTAACTTAAAATTTAAATAGCAGAACAAAAATCTTACATACAAAATGTGTAAAAAGCAGGTATATTTTTGCCGAGTTTAATGCATGCAATGATCTGCACCAGAATTCAAAAAAAAGTTTTTTTAACCAATATTTCTTGCTTTGATAGTACATTTAAATAAAGAAAACATTCGTACTTTTACAGTGCTCATATCTCTTATGTACTCTATAAACTTTATAAAATGCAATATTCAGAAATTTGCAAGTCTTTATTTCCCAAACACCACAACAACAATCTCCCTTTCTTTTTGTAAAATTTCATTTATTTATTTAACTTATATTCATAATTCAGGGCGATGCATTTTCCTTTTAGTGAATACGGAAGAGGGATTCCCCAAGAGTGAACTCTTTTTTATCATATGTATATGATACTGTTTTTAAATGAACAATGAGTGAATTAAAAAATTATATTTGCCGTAATAGGAAGAGATGTTAAATATGGGAGCGAAAACCCCTTTTCATGCTCATTTGAATAAAAATAGAAAAACTTAATTATTCACTGATTTAAAATATAACATTAATTTTTAAAATCGGTGGCTTTGATTGCCAATTTGGTAACAATTGCCTTTCAAGGAAACTGATATTAAATGTTAAATTTTAAAAGAAAAGTATTAAATAATGAAAATATTTTCAAATAGACTTATTTTGCATTAAATCAAAGGATGAAATAGACAAAAATAGAATTTAAAATATAATTTGAAAAAAAAAATTTGTTTTAGCAGAATATTTTTTTTTATTGAAATTTGGTGGAAAAAAATCTATTATTGATGTTTTCAACATTATTATTATAAGTAACGGTACGTAAATAATTATTTTTTAAATTAATGTAATTGAATATAATAATGTAATCAAAATAGCATGTTTGTCATATTGTGAAGAAGGTAAGCACTTGAATTTAATTAATTGTCATACATAATTAATTAGGTACTGATTTTAAGATGTAAAAAAAATGTTCTAGAAAAAATTTGATTTATAAGTTTGCAAATTGATTGAAAATTGTGACGTTTCATTAAAACTTATTTAAAAATAATTTAAAAACAATGTAAAACTACCAATGCGAAAACAGAAAGTACACTTAAATTATAAACCACATATTTGATATAAGAAGAATCGAAAAGAATAAAAAAAATTCTAATTTACAATATATTTGAATCCCTTAAGCAGAACCTGAATTAAGGGGAGACTAAAAATTTGACCACACGTAAATCAACAAAATTAGGAGATTAAGGAGTCTCAACGTTCATTCATCTACATGAATCTTTTCCTTCTCTTTCCTTGATTAAGCAGGAATGATTTTGTAAGAAAAGTTATGAAAGAAATTTGTAACATTGAGACAGATACAACTCAACATTTAAAGATAAAACGAATACATACGTACGGCGAGAATAGAGAAAAAGGCAGCAAAAATAGCAAAGCAATGAAAAATGGTCAGTGAATGAGAAAAAAATTACGCTTTTTCGAGCGAGTAAAATCTTTCCTGCTGTTATTGTTGTTTCTGTACGCTTTAAAAATTCTCCCAAAAGCCCATTTACGTCACTTTTTTCTTCTTTTGCCTTTCTTTATTTTTCATGGATGCTTGCTTCTTAAAGCACCAGAATGAAGGAAAAAATGAATTATAAGCAAAAGAAAGGAGAAATTTTTTCGTCTTGCTTACTGGCAGAGACGTAGCACGATTGAGATTAAAAGTTGCGTAATTAATCAACATTCTTAAGAAATGTTCGAAAGAAAAATTCTTTCCGACATTGCTGTAACTTTTATTTTTTTGCTTGATTAAAAAAAATCAGCATTAAAAAATGTAGATGAGAAAAGGAAAGAATTGATTGGCGCGTGCAGGATGGGTGGGTGAATGAAAAACGGTAATCCTGTTCAGCTTCATTTAACTTTCATTCTTCTTACTTTTGTTGTTTTTTAACTTCTTACTTTCCCTTATTTTACTTTTACAACATATTTTGTTACAATTTCAATCCTTAATTTAGTGAATAAAGCGGTTTCTATAGAATTGATGCTGTTATTTATTTAATCATCTCCGGTTCTGAATTTTCCATTTATGTTTTACAAAATTCAATAATTTTTTCTAAAATGTTCATTAAAATCAAGTACTGAGTTAAGTCACATTTAAATTGAAATTTTTGTATTTGACAAAATTTTTATTTTTAAATTACAATTTTGCTTACAATTTAAGATAACGAAAGAACTTAGTTGCTTAATTTTATTGCCCACACTCATAAGTTTGCATTAAAAAAATGGAATGTATAGTCTTCCACTATCTTTACACAAAGATTTCTTTAAAGTGGTATGTACCATACATTAACACTGTATTCATCGTGAATAAACTTGAAACAAATCAAGATTTTAACAGAAAACGAATAATTTTTATGACGATAAGAATGAAACAAAAAATAATAATAATGTTTTACGAATTGTCTTCATCTTCCTACTTTCATTCACAAGAATAATGACAAGTTTTCTTTAGTTTCTTCTACTTACTTATTTTATTTCCCTCTGCTTGTCTTGCTGGCTTTAAACTTCTTGTATTGCTTTTTATTTCCACTTTTGCCGTCTCTTTTTTAGTATTTAGGTAAAAAGAAGAGAGAAAATTTTCTCTTGCTAAGGCAACGTTGACGTTTCTGTTGTTCGTTTCGTAACTTTTTGATGATATTTCGATTTGAGACAAGTTTCACATTCACTTCTTCACTTCTTCTTAAAACTTTAATAGGTATATATTCTTCTTCACTTTGGCTTGATTTTCTTAAGAATATGCTTATTTCAACTCACTCATACACTTGCATATTCTTTATTAACTACAATATATATATATATTGGTCTAATTTGCAACTTTTACCACTTGAAATAGCCACGCATGCCACAAATATTTCCTCTTTTGATGTTGTTGCTGCTGCTTTAGCTTTAATTCGAAACCACTTTAAAAACTGTTATGCGTTGTTGAAAAACATGAAATTTTTTTCGCACTATTTCATGTATTAATCCAAAATATTTCTATATGCCACACATGTGTTTATATTGCACATACATGCGGACGATATGTGATGTTCTAAAAATCCGAAAATTGAAGCCAATTGTCCGTAAAAAGTTCTTTTTTTTCTTGTATTTTAAATAACAAACGAATTTGTAGGCAATGAACACTATAGTCGGAATGAAGCGTTTATGTCGATAAATATTATACGAAAAAACTGTCGCTTTTAAATTGTAGTATATGTTGAACGAAAAATTCAATTGGATGTTCGAAAACTGCAGATACAATAAATTAACGTTTTACAAGTACACCGAAAAATCCGACAAATAAATTTGTTTCCAGCAAATATAAATCGTCAATTTTAGTGCCCACGTACACGTTAAGTTTCGCATGAAATCTAAATCCCAACTAAAACTGGAAATAAAAAAAAGTTTTTCTTCCTAAATCGCAAATTTACGCGAGAGACCGCAAGCCAGCGACTGTTTATCGTTGAATGTTGTTGTGTTAAAATGTAGAGATTTCTTTAAAGTAAGTAAATTGAATTGAGGGTTTTATGTTTGTGCGGCAGTATTTGTAATAAATACAATGAATTAAACATTCATATTAACATATAACACAACACTCTCGAAAAAATCTCTCGTTATTTCTCTCTCTTCTTTTCTGTCCGCACTTCTTTTACATACTGAATCAAATGTACTTCTTGCTTTAAAAAAAGAAGAGACAAAACTTCTTAAGAATGTGAATGTAAGCGTAGAAAAGAAAGAAAAAAAAGAAGACAACAATTTATTTTATTTCTGTTCAATTTTTTTTATATCGTTTTCGCTTTTATTTCGCGTGAATCACATCCAATGCAAAATTTCTTCTTTCATTAATTTTGTTTTAAAACTATGGACAGACGCACACACACTCCAGCTTAAAATTAAATTTTAATGAAAGAACAAAATAAAGTCATAAAACTTTCATTCTTAAATCTTCTGTAACAAGTGTCGGAACATATAAAGTGGGTATACAATCATAACATTTGTCATACTTTTATTATTATTTTTTTGCTTGCTTAGTCAGAAAGAGAGAATAACACATGGATGGAAAATAAACACAAGAAAAATCAATGAATATGATGATGATGATGATTGCTTACAACAAGTTAAACAGGTTTCTTCTACTAAAACTTCTTTTTCTCTACAATTATTTTCTTTGTCTCCATACGTTTTATTATTAATGCTGTGCTCGTATGGTGAATATGTTGGAGCCGACAAACTCGAATCACCAAATGATGACGGTAGAAAAAAATATTTGAATGTTGTGATGTTTTATTAAAAATGTTTTAACCAATTTTACCATTTAATACATCAAGTGAATCTGAAGATGAAATCATTTTTAAAATATCAGAGATCGAAGCCGATTTTTTCGGCTTAACTCAATTTTTGATTTTTTTGATAGAAAAAAGCCATTTAACACCCATTTTAAGTATTTAAATTGAACTTTACATGCTTTACTATGATTCTGTGAAATATTTTTTCAGCATGTAGCTATAGTGAGCTCAGAATTTCAAGTTAAAGAATGTTAAGCCGAAATTTAAGCCGATCGGCTTAAAATCGGCTAAATTGAAATTCAGAGCTTACTATAGCTACATGCTGAAAAAATATTTCACAGAATCATAGTAAAGCATGTAAAGTTCAATTTAAATACTTAAAATGGGCGTTAAATGGCTTTTTTCTATCAAAAAAATCAAAAATTGAGTTAAGCCGAAAAAATCGGCTTCGATCTCTGTAAAATATTATCCAATACTTCTACCCAACTTCTACACAAATTGCATATCCAATATAAAAATATACAGTTTACATATATGGGCGATTCCATGGATGAGTGGAGTTTATCAAAAATAAGCTGTAATTCTTCTCGAAGTTGATGACTTTAATTTTTTAAAAATGTTTAACTTAATTTTTGCTTGGTGACAACTAATTTAACATCCGCATTATCGTCTATTTTTGTATAAACAACATTCTAATCAGAGAATTGCACTATGGGGCAAAATTGAAAAAAAGCGGCAATTAAGGAAATTTTTTTTGATGCTGTTTTTACAATTCTGTGGCTGTTTGAAATTGAAAATGAGTGAAAATTTTGATTTTTTCACGTCTCATTTAAACTGTCACATCTTTTTAATAGTTAAAGATGTTAAGAAACGCTTTTCGGTTTCTAATAGTGTCATGTAAGAGCTTTGTTTTGATAATGTACAAAATTTGTAATTTTGAAGTTTTGGTAACAGTATGGGAAGAAATGTGTGAAAATTCTATGAAAAATATATTCAAACATGCGGCAAAGATCTTAAATGGCCACTTTTCAGTCATATAAGCACATTGTGTTTTAGCTTCTGTCTTCTGGTTTTCAAAAATGTCATAATTTGTTTGGTACACTTTTGAGATAAATTGATTTAAATAAGTAGTAGAATAATTCAACAAAAAATAAAATATATTATAAAAGCTACGAAACAACAACAAAAAATTAGTTTTGTGTTATTTTTCGATGACAAGCAATATTTAAAGACAAATTGCGAAGAAATTTTTTCAGAAAGTTCAAAATCTGCCGAGATTTAGGGTACTTTTCATATCTGACGACTTGTATGGTTTTTGCATCACTCAAACTGCTCTTACTTTTGTGTACCTTAATATTTTTTAATTCTGTTTACAGTTTATTGTAGCTTAAGTCTAGACCTTTCTAAAGATATATAATACTTTGTAGTTTAGTATTATCTTGGTCATGAATTCAGGACTTGTTTGTGAACGACCCTAAACTACAAAAAATCTCAAAAACGTCATTTCTAGAAATATCACTTAGAAACAAAATTAGGTATTGTTTTTAGGTTTTTCATGATGATATATGATATTTATGACTATTAAAACTTAAAAAAGTGCCTTTCATAAACTTTTTGCGATCTCAGGTAGCCTGTTCTGGTACGACCCTAGTAGTATCTATTTGATCAGTAAAACTTCAGTATTAGACTAATTTGAAGATTTTTAATGATTTATATTTTATATTTTAACATATTTGAGTCAAAATAAATAAGTTTTAAGTACTTGTTTGCTAAAATGTAATTTTTGAATGTTTTAATAAAGACCAGTTTTCGTCAGTCTCATTCAATGCACTCAAGGAGTAACTATAACAAAGTTTCATGCAAGTACTATGCATCATTTTAAAGGTATTGATTTAATCTAGCAATAATCGAAAACAGATTGTAAAAGTATTAAGTCTGAAAAAAGTTCTAGTCATTTTAGTGAATCATAAAACATACTGAACCGCAACCAGAATAGGTAAAAACACAAAAATCGCAAAAACAATTATGAAATACACTTTTTTAAGTTTTACTAGTCATAAATATCATATGTCATCATGAAAAACCTAAAAACAATACCTAATTTTGTTTTTAAGTGATATTTCTAGAAATGACGTTTTTGAGATTTTTTGTTGTTTAGGGTCGTTCACAAACAAGTCCTAAATTCATGACCAAGATAATACTAAACTACAAAGTATTATATATCTTTAGAAAGGTCTAGATTTAAGCTACAATAAACTGTAAACAGAATTAAAAAATATTAAGGTACACAAAAGTAAGAGCAGTTTGAGTGATGCAAAAACCATACAAGTCGTCAGATGTGAAAAGTACCCTAAATCTCGGCAGATTTTGAACTTTCTGAAAAAATTTCTTCGCAATTTGTCTTTAAATATTGCTTGTCATCGAAAAATAACACAAAACTCATTTTTTGTTGTTGTTTCGTAGCTTTTATAATATATTTTATTTTTTGTTGAATTATTCTACTACTTATTTAAATCAATTTATCTCAAAAGTGTACCTAACAAATTATAATGTATGTACATTTTTGAAAACCAGAAGACAGAGGCTAAAACACAGTGTGCTTATATGACTGAAAAGTGGCCATTTAAGATCTTTGCCGCATGTTTGAATATATTTTTCATAGAATTTTCAAACATTTCTTCCCATACTGTTACCAAAACTTCAAAATTACAAATTTTGTACATTATCAAAACAAAGCTCTTACATGACACTATTAGAAACCGAAAAGCGTTTCTTAATATCTTTAACTATTAAAAAGATGTGACAGTTTAAATAAGACGTAAAAAATCAAAATTTTCACTCATTTTCAACTTCAAACAGCCACAGAATTGTAAAAACAGCATCAAATGACCTGAAATTTGGCACAGAAGTCAATTTTGATGTCATCTACAAGAAAAAATAACCCTGAAAGCGTAGTTCGAAACTGTTCAAAAATTTCCTTAATTGCCGCTTTTTTTCAATTTTGCCCCATAGTGAATTGGTTGTTAATTCCAGAATCATAAAAGAAGACAGAATGCATAGAAAAATGACAATAAATAGTTGTCTATATACCTAGAAAGAGTAAAATTTTTGATTTTAAAAATCAGAATTTCACATTTTGAAAAAGGCTACCAGCACAAAAATATTTCGTTAATTAAAGCATGCAGCAGGAAGAAATAAAGATATTGATGTAGAATTCATCGTTTTACATAATTATTCTTAATTTTTGGATTGACTGGGGATTGACTAGATAGCTCATTTTGGGGAAAAATTAGTTTAAAGTCGAAATTTGTAGAAAACTCTTTCCGTGGGATTACCCATTATTTAAAAAAATTAATTTTAGCGATTTAAAATTAACAGCTATTTTTTAGGTTAAAACAAAATATTTTGAATCTTTTCAACAAATGTTTTTTCGCAAAATCATTCAGAACAAATTTAATGATTGATGTTTTCCTTTTCTCAATGCGATTTTAATTTCCTCATCAGTTATATGAAGATTATGATAATAAGGGTAGTTTTTGAATGTTTTCGATAAAGATCAATTATTTATTAAATGTTGTGTAAACAATCAAATATTTAAATCTTGAATTATTGTTGAATAAAATCTTGATTTCCAACGTGAAACATGATTCTCAGAAGATCCAAAGCTTCTTAATCGATGCAGCAGCTTTTTCATCTGTAATGTTGTTCTTAATTATAAATGTTGATTTGAATGATGCGATGACATCCAAATTAAATGATTAATTTTTGCAGTTTAACAGTTTTGTCTTTACGGACAATTTATTCCTGCAACTCAGCACAATTACATGACCCAGGGTATATCAATGCAAAGTACTTAGCCACAATTTGCATGTCGCGAATTGTACAAACCAAGTTGCCATGACTAGAACAGCGAAAAAGCACCCAAAATCCGACTAGACATTCCTTGAGAGCAAACCAGTGTTGTTAGGGTTGGTTGGCAACTGCTACTTTTTCGCTGCTTAATTGAATAATTCGACAGAAAATTGCAAATTTCCATTTTTCTTGATTCTTTTTATCAGATTGTAGTTTCATATCTTATTTTTTTATAAAAAAATTTAAAACTTTCTTTTTGAACAATTGCAAAGAGGCATTTAATTTACGTTTTTCTCTCATCTCCTGCCTTTTGTTATGATTTAATTTCGTAAAGATTCATAAAAGAGGAAATTATTTCTCTGCTTTACAAACAATATCATCTTAAAAATTAAAGCAAGCAGAAAACGAAAGAGGAATGGGAACAAGGAACAAAGTAAAAGAGTTACTGAATGAAAATCTTATATTCGACCATAAAATCTAAGGAGAGAGCTTTCAACACAAACACAATGTTTTCGAAATGTATAGAAGTACAAAAGAAAGAATGGAAATCTAAGAAGAATTGAAGATGGAGAGGATTTTAAATTGGAACGGAACAATTCCGGAAATGATTTATTCAGTGAGTAGAATGAAACGAAACTACAATAAAAAGAATAAAACATTTTCGGATAAAATACTTCTTTCTTGCTTTTTAATTTCGCTTATTTTTTTTTGTTTAATAAAAAAAAAAACTACAAGAACCTACATCATTTTTTTAAGATATACCGTTTTCTAAAGATGTAAAAAACGTCTTTTTATTTAAATAAATTTCAAGCGTTGCAATAATATAAGAAATTCGTATTCATTCATTCAATTCATTCAGCGTGTTGCCTATACCTTAGGAAAAATCATTTTTTAAATACTTTTATAACTGAAGAGATCTATAGAAAATTCATTAAAGCTTAGTTAATGTTTACACTTTTCTATTTTTATTGGTAGTTTGTTATTTCAAGAAGGCATAAGGATAAACGGTGAACAAATAAAGAGAAAATGAAAATTGCAGCTGCTCTTTCTGTCCTTATGTTTTTTCTCTGCTTCCTCTATCCTTCTTACTTTTTGTTATCTTAATCGCTTTCATCATCGTAATTGCGTTTTGGGCGTGATCCTCTTGGTAAAGCTGTGAGGATATTCTCCAATTCAACTTTCGATGGACTTGATTCCAGTAATTTTCTCACATTTCGAACGATTCTCTTGTGAGGTAGCTCCTTGATTACAGTATAAAGCAACAATATAATGTTATACACTTAATTTTAATTAAAAATCAATTTAACATACTTCATGGTAGTTTTCAGGAAGAAAGTACTCAGGATGAGGCCACATAATCTAAAATAAAATTTTTAATTAATACAAACATCTCTTGATACTGAATTTGCTTTAAAAAATTTATACAGGATGCCAGGCTTTTCGTTCGGGCTGTAAATTTATAAATGATAAAGAAAAAGGCCTTTAATTTTGGTTATTAAAATTAAATATTAAAGTGCTATTACACATTGAACAAAAGCTTCATGGGGTGGATCCAGTTGGCGTTCAATATGGATGCGAGGCGCTTTTGGATTTCCTTCCATTATGATTTCCTCCATAAATGGTGGATTGTCCTTGGTAGCTTCATTGTCATGAAACCTTAAATATATGTATATATAATAATTTTTACGTGTTTGCAAAAATGGATAATCGTGCGATTAACACCTAATGCGTGTTTTATATCAAACAAGTTCAAGGTCATGACATACCTGACTACGCCAAATTTAAAACTACGAATAGCTTTGGTTGCGTGCAATAATGCTTCATTGGCCTCCTTCAATGTCATCATGCTAGTGTCCTTTCCATCAATCATCACAATTGAATCACCTAATTTCAGTCCAACTCGTTTTGCTTTGGAATCTTCTTTTACCTGACGGAAGGAAGTAGTTTATGTTTGTATGACATGATAGAATGCGAAAATTGTTTTCATTTGTAACGTTTTCATGACTTTAACTAAAATTAAATTACTGACATGGAAAATTGTTATCGGCATGTTAAAATCAGCACCACCAGTTATTCGCATTCCTGTTGATTTTTCCACAGCTTCTTGAGTAGGATCAATTTCTATGGACTGTGGTACAAATAACTTCTGCTTTTTAATTCTTTCCATAACAGGAGCTTCATTTATGGCTTCAGTGTTTGTATTTTTACAACCGATTGTTAATTCAGCGAAACTTACATTTCCTTCAATTACCTGAGGCACAGCATTCAAAAGACTCTGCCTACGACTTGGGATCGGTATTGTAATATTTATCGTTGTTTCAATCGATTCCGGCATATTCACTCGTTAATTAAAAATAAACTTTGCTAAAAATAAATTTTCAGTGTCGCGAAAAAAAAAATGTTCGTTTTTTGTTTAAATTTTTGTTTTACTTATATTTAAATCTATAAAAGGTAATAGAGGATGAGAAAGTTAATAAATAATTTCAAGATTGTGTGAAAAAATTTCATCGAAACAGTAGACATGCTGCGAATTTTATTTTAAATTAAAAATATAAAAATGGTAAATTACCAACAAAAAAAAACTTATCACTTACAACTTCGGCACGCAACTGAATTACAAAATTTTAAGAAAGATTTAGATCTTATAACAATTTTCTCATTCGGTTCTCAAAAATCTAATTAAAGTCTCACTGACACTTGTTTGCATAAAATAATCTGTGCACTCACATGCAAACATAAACTGTTCAAAATACTATCCTATTACTTATAAACTGTTTAAAAAGAGGAACACTCTAAGTAAACAAATTGAAAACCTTCTCAATCATTGAAAAAGGAAAATGTTGTTTTTATACGCTGATACAGTATACTGCTTCAGATAATTAATACAAATGACTTTCTCCTTCTCAGATTATAATTAAAATTTATGTCTACATAGTGGATGACAATATTACCATGGTATTACATTCCTTAAATGTGTCATTTAAGGCTTCATTTATAATCTTTTGTCTGACACTGTATCCTTGTAGATTTCAATTCTAACAATAAAATTCATGGTACTAGAAAAGGATAAAACAAAAAAAATTATTTAACTTTCTTAAAAAATTTGACTAAGCAAAAAGAGGGGGATCCAGCATAAAGTTTTTAAATTTTAAGTTCGATTAATATGAGAACAAAACTTTTTTTTTCTGAAAACAACAATCGCTTGCAGTTTTATTGCAACTACAATATTTATATTTTATTTATTTCTCAAGTTGTACTAGATGTATAAAAATATTATAAATAATGAAATAAACCTGAAGTGTCAACTAAAGAGATTATTGTAATTCGAATTATATTTTTAAAATTATAATTATGGCCACAAAAAATGAGAAAATTAATGTTTCTAAGAAAGTTACATTTAAGAGCATTGTAAGTCTTATACTTACACTACACTTTTAGTGCAAAATATAATCCTGAAAACTGTTTTCTCTTGTGAACACAGAATGCGCGCATATGTATAAAGTCATAAATTTGAAAAATAATTCGCAAAGAAACTTAATAAAAGAAAAAAAATAAACTTTAAAAGAAATGAAAAAATCATAATTTTTGTAGTATGAAAAACTCATAACAAAAATAAATAAATTTTGATTGTTGGTCTACTTACTTTATGACTTTTTTCATAAAAACATTTTCTCCCCTTTGTATGTTTACTTTTATGGTTCTACTCTCACCAAATGATTCTGTAAATGCGAGTAATATTTGTGAAAATTACATTTAGTCCAATCACTGTTTCGTTTATTGAAACTTATTGTTTTTTTTTTGCCTTTTCCCATCTTATTTTTAACTTGAAATTGAAAAGGATTGATATGGATGAGAAAAAGCATTTCAGAGATACAGTATCATTTCTCAATTAAGGTTAGTGAATTTATTAACATTATTGTACATTGTAATTTTTGTGCTTTCATATTTGATATTTATCACGATGATAAAGTTCTTTAAACCAAGTTTAAGTATTAAAAAAAAACTAGGTGCACAATCAAATGATCTATTTATTAATTCAAAATATTAATTATTTTAAATGAGAAAAAAAAGAATAAACTTTCTAATAACCAAGATTCTATAAAAAAAAAACATAAAAAAATGTCATAAAATTGAAAGCAAGTTGTGATCAACAGAAAGCGTCTTAATACCCAAAAAAGAACATCAAGAAACAAAGGCAGAAAAATATTCATCATGAGCCCTAATCTCAGTCTTTTCTTTCACTTACTAACTATATCCATATTAATCCCCTTGGCAAACAACCATTTTACGTAAATCTACATCCACAGACCAGCAGATATTCAGTTAGCTTTGGCTTAGTTTTCTCACAATACTCACACTCAGTATTAGATAGATAGTTAAATATAATATATGAAAAGAAGAATGAAAATAAAATAAAAAGGGATAAAAAATAATAAAGGAAGCAAAATCATGAATGCAATGTATATACATAGATTATTATTGAAATTTCCAACATGAACCTTAATTTTCACAACTGTTTTAATATAACTTTTTATGAGCATGTAAGGCAATGCAATGAAAAGGAGATTAAATGAAGATTAAGAGGAGTGAAGCCCTTTTGCTTTCTTTTCTTGTATATGAGTCAAATATACTCCGGCTTAGATATTCATACTTACTATGCTATTTTATATATTTTTCTTTTCATATAACGTAACTTTTTCTTATTATTTCTCTTTTAAGAGGTTGCAGACTATCTAGGCAGGCACTGAAAGCTCAGAAAGAGATTAAAACTATCCTTCACCACATGACTTACATAGATTCATTCCCCTTTTATCGAGATATATTCTTATTAAATATCAAAAATATTTTTAAATACTTTTTTTAAGGCATTCACGATTTCCCGGGATACCTAGACGGGAATTAGCGGGACGGTCCTGCTTGTCCTGTCCCGAGAAAGGCTCCTTTTTATGAGTATTTAACTCATCAATAATTATATACAAAAGTTGTTGTAAAACTCATTTAGTCTGTTTCTTTCATATTGAAACTTTGAAATTATGAAAATATCTTTATAAATTAATGTTGACTAATCTCGGGAAAAATTGAAAAATTAAGAATCTGAGTTCCAAATTATTCTACGAAAATTATATGAATATATATGAGTATTAAAATGCGTCATGGAATTGAATTGCTTACTTACATTAATATACATTCGTATAATATTTTATCTTATATGCGGCTCTGATTGAATATTTTCCTGACATGAACTTTTATTCTTCTGTTAGCAGTGTGTTACATCTCACATATTTCTCACTCGCACAGTATACGTTTGTATATATTTTAAAAAGCATATATGCTGTGTACACATAAAGAATGTGAGCATTCAGGAGGAAAATTTATGTATAATATACAATGGTAAATGGAGAATGATGCCTTGCAATGTTCAATGTACATTTCATTGAACAGTATAAGGATAGACTCGAGGGAGTTATTTGAAAAATATAGATTGTATTTGTGGATGGAAAAAGTTGCACGATTTATTTCTCTCTGAATATTTCTATCACTATATTGAATCACATGAATTGGAATTGTAAATCATTGTTTTTATTTTCAGAAAAAGAAATAATAAAAAAGTTGAAGTTCAGAAAATTGAAGTATAACTGTAAGGATGTGTAGTTGATATATCATAAAATTCGACATCGTGAATAAATGCACACGGAAGATGAATGACTGATAGAACCTTTAATTTTATTCTAATAAAGTGCTTTAGCTAAAGGTTCATAATTTCTTAGGTTAGGCTTATTTTTTTTTTCAAATTTCATGTCCTAAAAGCTCATTTAAAAGTTTAAAAAAGCATTAATAACTCATTTTCACCAATGTTTTACATTTAGTTATGGTAAAGTGAAGCTGAAATTGTTATGCATGCATACAAACATATGTATCTTCCACAATATTCACATCATCATGTTCATCTTCAGACTTCTAATGTAGTAAAATAAAATATGAAAATTTCTTTTTTATTTGGTTACCTTGCATAATATCGAAACAAAATAAAATTTAAATTTTAAGCACATGAAATAGAATAAAGACAGGTAAAAATATGAAGCAGAATAAATAGAAAATATATGTTTATAGTTGCTGTTATGTAATTCTTCCATCTGAGAATTTTTGTTTTATAAACAATTTTATGTTGAATGACAAGATCCACGAATGAATTTGGGTTTAACAGGATATTTTTTTTTTCATTCGTTCCATTGTGCTGATAAGAAACCAATTCTGAACATAAAGTTTCATGGAAAAGGAAAATTTTATTTCATCTCGAAGCTCTTCCTATGTTGACGATATTCAAAAATTTCGGTCACGTAGAATGTGTTGTATTAGGATTTTGGAAAAGAAAAAAGATAGAGAGACGAGAGTGAGATGAATAGATACAATAAACGAGAAAGAAGGCTTGAACAACAATATTTCCTTTTTATAGTGTATACGTACCTAAATATATTTAAGGCTGATGATGGTTTCTTCTCATATAATATTATGATGCCTTTCCTTTTTTATTATGTCCAAAATAAATATGCTGAAATTTTAAAGAAGTATTTTTTTTGTGATAATAAATCGCATTTCTTACCATGAATCAAAATTAAAGGCTGGGCTCGGTTTTTAGGTCTACTTATGGAACCCTAGGGAAATTATCGATGTACTACAAAATGGGATATAATTAAAATTAATTTAAGACTAGGATATGGTGCTTTGATAACCGAGCCTTGGTCAAATTTTTATTTTAGTTTAGAATAACCTTATTTAAAACCTACTTTGAAATATTCTTATTTCTAAGCATGTGTGTGTATGTTAAAAATCATTTAAATACAAATAGTGATATAACACTTTTATCCGGGAAAAAGCCCCAATATTAAGAGATGGAAAGCATAAGAATATTACATTTTCTCTATGTGTATTCACACTTAAATATTATTTCTTTGCTTCATAATTTTACGATTGGAATGAAGGAATTCAATCAATATGTTTTCGGTGAGCACGTTTTGAATTGGAGTAGGCACGGCATATGGTTTATAAATTTTAATAAAGTAAATGACGGGAAGGTTTCATTTCCTATGCTGATTTTATGTTAGTAAAAAAAAGAAAATATATTTGGTCCTATATGGTTTTTTATTTCTTTCTAGCCTCTTTTTGAATGCCAATCGTCAACTCGAATCGGAGATTTTCAGACTTTGATTTCTATAGCCCATTTATGAAATTCCATTATATATATTTTGTGTTATTGTATGACAACCATCGACATGAAGACAATTCTCATTTTCTTTGATATTATTTTTTTAGAACTTGAAAGAATGAAATTTTCCAGCTACTGTTTTTCAATGTGAGGAGCCATAAAAATTTTCTTCAAAGTGCTGTTAAATTTTATTAACAATCGTAAAATGTTTGCATGTATTTTCCATCATTCATTTTACAGCTGTGCTGATTATTATAAAAAATCTTGCAGAGAGAAATGAAACAAAAAAAAATTAAATGGCGATATGGCAATTGAAAAAGAGGCAAAAAGTTCTTTTTACTAGCAACAGTAATATATATAAATGTGAATGTGCCTCAAGACCTAAAAAAGGACACAAAAAGCTTATGTTA